AAACCAGATAAACCATTCCATGCTTGTTGAAAGGAAAGGTCTGCTGAAATAGGAACAATAACTGGACTTGATAGCAGGAGAAAGGCACAGCATCTACAAACTGAGACAAAGATGGAAAAGGCCTGAATGAAAAGGCTTGCCCTATCTACAAAGACTCTAACCATCCAACACTGCCTATAAATTCTGCAAAACTAATTTCTTCTCCAGAAAAAGTTTATATTTTATGACAGATTGCATCAGTTATGGGATTGCCTTGGACCAAGGACTATGTATACACAATTGGCTTGCTGAGCCTTCCCATGCAATGAAGTGCATATCATATATCTGGACATATGCTTCAGCCCTGAAGTCCTAGAATATACCTAAACAGAAGACATCATACTTGTCCTTCCTCTGAACTTGGTTTTGGAGAAAAATTCTAGTCCTTGGGAAGCTCTACGAAGATGCCCTCATTAAACTGACACTACCTGTTTTTGCAAAGACCTTCAGCACAGTGTTCAGCAAATCAGTAGCTCTGTACTGACGTTTGGGAAGGGAACAAAGCTCACGGTAAATCTCGGTAAGTGGAAGAAAGTATTAAACCCTCTTTCTGAATGTGATTTGAAATCCTTTATAAACTAACTACTAGCGATGTGGCTTCTTGCTTCATCTCTGCCAATATCCAAATCTCACCTGGCTAAAAAAATACCTTCTCTGCACAGTGCAGCAAGGCAGCTGGACACAACTTCTTCTAAATTCTCTCAAGTCATTTAACTTCTTTGCCAAATTGTTTGGTTTTTATGGGTGCTCAAAACTATGCTCGTTTATCAATCAGAGAAAGAGAAGCTCCCAAACATTTCCAGATTTTTAGATCATTGTGAAAAGAGGATGCAGACAGTGTGTTTGTCTTCCTGGGAGGAAAAGAATAAGGATTCATTCACGGCTTACTAAATGCTAGACAGTACACAGCAGACTTCCTACCCATTGTCCCCTTAACCTTTCCACCAGTTCTAGGACTTAGTGCTATTATCCTCATTTTATAAGAGAACTTTTTACATTTTTAGGGAAGTAAAGAGTTTGAGTAACTCACTCAAGTTGATGGAGTAAGAAGAGGACCTGGAACTTAATGCATAGCACTGAGAATCCAGAACTAAATGCTTATTAGGGAAGGGATTGTGCCTGAGGGGAAATTCACTAGCCCTGTGCTCCCTGTAGCTGGGAAAATAATTCTTGAAGAAGTGCGTCTTTGATCAGACAGCCAGGGGTTGAGCCACAGGACCACTGCCACCCAGTTATGTATCCCTAATCCTCATGACAGCACCACTAAGCTATACCCCTTCCCTATCTCTCCAAGTGAGAAAACTGAGGTGCAGCAAGTTACAGAGTTTTCCCTGGATTTCAAAATAAAGTTTCTCACCCCAAAACCTGAGCTCTCAAAATAAACTGCATCTGCCAACCAACTGAATTAACTAATTGCTTAACTAATTATGAAGACAACAATCCATTGGGCTGTTAGGAAAAACAGTGATTCATTTTTTTCCATGGCTCCGCTCCCTTTCCAGGAATAACCACACAATTAGATATTCACACAGCACTGTGTTTCTGCCTTTGTGCACCTGGGGGAGCGTGGGTGAGTCTTGGCTCTCCAAACTTGCTAGAAGGGTCTGGCGTGGCAGTATTTGTAAAGCAGTCTGTGGGTGTGTAACTCAGGAGCATCTGAAAAGCTCAGCTTTGGACAAGGAACAAAACTGACAGTAAATCCATGTAAGTTTGAATAAGTAGTACCTCCTAATTCCTCTCTAGAACCCTAATTCCCAAGTTTTCAGTTCTATTTTATCATCTAGGAACAAACCCAGCAATCCCATTAATGGACTAATTCACACACTTGTGACTATATCCCTATTTCATGCAGCACACAGCTGTTTACTCCCATGGTGTGCCTTTATCTAGTAGGTGAGAATGCTAGTGCCAGTGTAAACTGAACAACAGAGTCGGGTTGTTAAAAAGCTGAGTTATTGGTATTATTTTGTTGTTGCTGCTATTATTGCTGTTGTCCTTGTCATAATCGATGACATTTTCCATGCGACTAAGGTGAAAATCAATTAAATCTCTAAGCCTCTGTTTTCCTCTTCTGTAAAATGGGAGAGGCAGTTCCTACTCTTCTTTTATCAAAACAGGCAATTGTAAGACGGTCATTTGCACTTCTGCAATAAAATGACAATAAATACAAGCAAAAGGAGACCCCATGTTGTCCCTGAACCCTGCCACCAGACTCTCATTACAAAAAGTTGGCATTAGCAGAGCGTTCTTGCATGACAAGTAAACATGAAAGTAGAAATTCAGGGGGCTTTGAGCAGCTGGGTTTTTGTAGAGTCCCCCATCACTGTGTGATGCTGGGACCGGTAATAAGCTGACATTTGGAAAAGGAACGGTTCTGACTGTTAGACCAGGTATGTTTTAATGATGATTACTTGTTTCTAACTATAAGCCACCACTCTTAGAAACTCAGTGAAAGTTACCCAGTTCTTAGCAGCCTTTCACCAGGAATCATTCTGGTGAAAATGATCCTGCAGACAAGAGTCCCATAGGACCGTATTCAACACCATTCAGTACTGTATCTGGGAAGGTTAGGCTTGCTGTGTTAATGTTGGGGCTGTGTGTATAACGAATAACTGGAATTGGTGTTTGGTGCACAGGGGCAGGAGGCACCTAGAAGGGGGAGAGGAAAGGGCAGGTTAGACTCAAGGACATGGCAATGGCAGGGGCTGGAATTTGACCTGCTCTGAAAGGTGGTGGTGAGATGTGGCTGCTCATAAGCAGATCATGGCCACTCTTGTCACCTCCTTGTCTTCCCAAGATTTCTCTGTGGGTGCCACTAGGAAGGAAAATTATCCAAGCCCCTTTACAGATAATCTCGGAGCCAAGCTAGCTAGGTAAACCTATTCTCAGATACTAATACTGATGGTAAATTGATACTTTGGGAAAGGCAAGATTGAAATCACATATTCCAATTAGTCAGAAAGAGCATGAACTTCTAAAAACAAGCCCAGGAGGCTGTTTCCTGCTGCGTTCCTGACTGGGTCCTCACGGAACATTTTCATTCCTGCCCAGGCTGAGCTGTGTGCATCAGAGAAGCTCTCTTTTGGTATCCACTCATTTTTTGTGCCCCTCAGTGAAAAAGCAGTAACAAAGCATCTGAGTGGAAGAGAAAGATTCCCTAACCAACTATAACAGCTCCTCTCCCCTCTCCAGCCAAAAGGATATTTTGAGGGTTGCCCTGCTATTCTCAAAACAAACCTAATTTTGGTTAAGTTCAGTGTAGCTGAAATTTTGCTTCCTAAAGCCTCAGTTTCCTATGACAATGCAAGCTCATTCCAAACAGTGGATTGGGGTTTAACTTTCATACATATTCCAAAAGATATCAACTAAACATTCTACTTTTTGACCACATTATTATTCACTTTATGAAGACTAGAATCAAAATGTCTTCATAAACATTGTGTTACCATCATAAGACCTTCCTAAATTCCCTGTGCCTAAAACAGCAGCAAATACAAAAGCATTTCCATGCTGACTTGTACATGCAGTAGCCAACCAGGGTATTAGGAACAGGTGAGAGAGCTGCTATGTTTCCAAATAGACTGGATATTTAGAATCCTCCAGATATTAGGAATGGTAATCAGAAAAGACATGTGCAATTCCTTTTTATTCACAATTCTCATTTTTCCTAAAGAATGGTTATAAATTTTTTCCCAAAGGCGTTGTATTCATCCTTCTTTTAGTTCCTTTATTCATGAGGTGTACAGAGATGAAATATTGGTTTAGATTCAAAAAACATCCATAAGATTTACCCTAAGCTTTCCCTGTCAGAGAGATTCTAAAGAGCTAAAGAGATGGGAATCTGACATTTGGGAGCTAGATTAAAGAGAAAATCCAAATTAATCCCAAGGAGCAATACTCAATAGATAGTTATTTAGATACAGCATGTCAAACCTGCAAGCTCAGAGCTCAGTGGACTGGGCTGCCCCTGCCTGGTTTTTTGCCTGGAAGAGCTGTAAAGTGTTCATCCCAACCTGTCTTGAGTAGAAAGAAATGTCAGTCTCCAGCGCTGAAAACTCCTTGTGATTTTGTTTATTTCAATAGAGTTTATCATTACCTACAGTGTTCTGGAAGTAATAGAAAAGTGCATTAGAAGCACCTGCAAATGGAAATTAAATGTAAATTTAGATTGTAAATATGTGACTGCAGTAAATAGATAGCAAGAAAAAAGATGAAGAGATTAGAAACTTAGTACATTTCTCTAACCCTAAAGGGGATGTTTCTATAAATAGTTTAAAACTATTGAAGAGGTGCCCAGAGGAGGAAGGAGAGAACAGAGGCAAACAGATTTTCTCCTAATCCTCTTCGCACTGCAAAATTGGAAATTGTTTCTCAACCACATTTTCTTGGGCCGAAGGAAAAACAAAGTCTATTTCAAGACTAAGGGGCATGTGGGTTGCTGTCTCTTAGAACTGATTTTGAGGATAGCTCCCTGTTAGTGACAAGTGCTAGCAATGCCCTTGCCAGGAGAAAAGGAACAAGCACAAAAATCAATCCATGTGTAGGTGTGGAGGGATGGATGAGAAAATCCAGGGAGCAGGATCTCTCCTGGCTTCCCACTTTTACCTAATGTACTCCTGGAACAGGAGACCCCAGGATTCAAACCAGAAACTTTCAAGAGGAAATCAGCTTATGTTCACTCAAGAGACCTAGCATGTTCTGAATTCTATCTGTTCTAGGAAGAGATCTACAAAGGTTGAAAGAAAGGTGAAAAAAGTTTGATTCTATGAAGGGAAAATAAAGACCTTAAATATTTGGCAAAGAACATCTGACACATGTCTACAGTAGTAAAAGGTCTTTGTGAAGAACAAAATAAGCAGCCCAAGGAGACACGGCCCACATTTCTCCAATCTCTTCCTCAGGGGCAGAGGTAGGGCCTGGTTTAAGGTTTATGTAAAGCTGTGTGCTGGGGTGTAGCTCAGGGAGCAGCTCCGGGAAGCTGGTGTTTGGGCACGGCACCAAGCTGACTGTCCACCCATGTAAGTACAGAGACTGGGGCTACATGCAGCACCCACAGTCTCCTTTCCAGGCTGGTCCAGAAAGCTTCCAGAAGGGCACATACTTGTTCTGTAGGCTCCATCACAGAGAAGCAGCCCAGGGGAGATGGGAAAGCTCTCAAATCTCACCTTTAATGTTTCTTCCTCTCTCTCCTCCCTTTCTGCAGTCAGTTCCCAGTAAACCAGAATCTAGTGAGTCCGTGTGAGCAGTTTCAGCAACAAGCAGAAAAATGGTAAATCTCCCCCAAAGTGCAATAAAGTAGGATCTATGTGAGCACCAGCCAGGGTAAGAAAATTAGGAAAGGAGAAAAAAAGAAATGGATTACCAAGCTGAAGGTGGCAGCTTAGTCATAAAAAGAACAATAAAGAATTTTAATTTAATTTTTAAAATATAGTATATAAATATGTATACAAGCATACAAATACGTAAGAATTCCAAGGACCTCTGGAAGCTAAGGTCTCACCTGCAACAGCTGCCTTGAGGAATTAGAAAGAATGTACAAACCTGTAGTCTAGTGCAGTGTTGAGACCCAGGGCTCTTCTGCAAAGGGAAACCCTTTCCTGTTTTTTGTAAAGCCTTGCTAGGCTGTGAGAATACTGGAGGCAGCACCTATAAACTGATATTTGGAAAAGGAACTCTCTTAACGGTAAATCCAAGTAAGTGGAAGGGAATCGGGAGAAGGGGGATTCAAAGGCTTCTTATTTTAATCACCTGCCTCTCCAAAGCATCCTAGCTTAGCTTCCAAATCTAAGGTTTGTGTTAGGGGTATATGGTCCACATCAGAGGGACTAGCACTCCATTGTATGAAGACTAAATTACCTTTATTGAAAAACATTCCTATCGTTCATCTTAAGTGAAATTATTGGTGCAGAGAGGAAAATTGTATATAGGATCCTGAGGGATTCAGCTAAGGCCAGGCAATGTTTGCCAAAAAGATAGAAAGGAAATTGGCATATTGTGACTATGCAAATTCAGTAGACCAAATATAAATCTTCTTGATGGAGATACTAAAACTCACTCAAACTGCTGAAATAATGAGACCTTGTGATTTCATTAACTAATGCTAGGAATTCTACAGGCAGATTTCTTCTTTTATCTTCATTTTATCTCTCTTAAAGGAACTGTTCTCAGTCCTCTAAACCACTAAACTAAGATCTCCATGGGTAGAAATGTCTGGGTGAGTCAGACAGAGCTTTTAGCCCCATTTTTTTCCTTGGTTACCAAATTAATTAATTTGGCTCCACTTAGTTCTCTTGAGAACCAGGGTAAATTCATCCATCATCTGAGTCATGAGAATAGAGCAGGACATCCTCCCCTTCACATCCACACCCACTGTTTTCTCACAGTGAGGGTATGTGTGCACTGAAAAAGTTCAAGATGTTATATATGAAAAGACAGAGCTGTGGTTGCTCTTGGCACATCTTGAATCTAAGTTGCTGGTGGGCTTCTCAGAGTAGTGCTTCCAACTAATGCAGAGAAGACTGACTTGCTATAACATTCAGGTAAAGGGAAAATGGGAAAGGTTTGAAGGGACCCAATCTTCTTTTGACATAAGCTAAGTGCCCTGGATGCTGAATACAGGCCAGAAAGCTCAGCTTTATTCAGCACTGCTCTCTATGATCTAGGAACGATGTCACACTAAGAAAGGCATGAACACAGAGCAGACAAAGTTCTTTTGAAAACTGGCTGGGAGAGAGGGAAACAAGTAAATGATTCCGTGACCCTCTGTATGCAGCGTAAGGGATCAATGAGCCAGCCCTGTGGCCCAAGGCTTGGAGTGTTCTGGACTGGCGCAGCCTGCAGATACACAGGGCAGTTAGCCATGCAGTTCTCACTGGCAGAAGTGCCTTGCTTGGCAGGAGTGAAATCAGCACGTCTGCGACAACTGAAACAATGAATAATACATGATGTTGTCAAATCCCATGCATTCAGCCGTCTCCGAGGTCTTATCACATTAAAGCTTCAAGGGATTCATATGAACATCTCAGGAGACTCAAGGACTCAGTCTCTTTTCCCAGGGTAGGCAGGCAAGGCGGGGGATGAGAAAGTCAGTTTTATCTTTGATGTTTTGCTCTAAACAGAATAGCGCAAGGATCTGGGGTGGGCTTTCCAGAACGCAGACCGAAGCAAGGAGCCCTCTCAGCACTTGGTTTTCCTTAGGGGGGCCCGTAAGCTCTAACAACCCTTTTGCTTTAAAATGCTGAATGGGCCAGGGAGTTTGACAGCCTAACCATAGGGAAAACATGCACATGAGGCAGGATACTTCCAAAGCTCTGAGCAGTAATTGTGTGCCAGATTTCCTATGCAGTGGGCCCTTTACAAGCAGGGTTCACAAGGCTGGAGTCCAAGAAGCCCATGACTAAATTCCATTTCCTTCTATCAGCAGAACACAGAGATTATTGCCCGGGTAACACTTAGATGTCCATATGTTTGAGGCCTTCAGCCTATGGCCGGTACCTAGTTTTGCTTATGGAGGCTAAAGTGTGTGGGATCAGGCAGGGGTCATACTGTGAATACGGAGAAATATTAAGGAGCTGGGAAGGTGGTTTAAATGCTGGTCTTTAAAGTAAATGGGTGCTTCTGCCCAGCTAGATGTCAGCCTTTTCTCTCTCCCTTCTCATCCATCTCACCAAGCTAAAGTTTTAACCTTTTGCTGATGAGTCATTGCTTAAAGAAAGGAATAGCATCTGGTTTGACTATTGTCTCCTTTGGAAGTCCTGTAATGTTTACAATGTCTAAGTTGTATTGGTCTTGTTCTCTACTGTTTTGTCCAACTTTATAATATCTAATGAGATAGACAAATCTTTTTAAGGAAACAAGAGACAACGTTGATAACTATTGTTAATAACCGTATACTCTGTTCTACATCATGTGCTAAGTCTATCCTTGGTTTTGACTGACAGCTTTGTTTTGCCATATTTGATTTTATTCTCCCCCCCCCAAAAAGTAATAAGAACTAAGGAGTAATAAAATCTAAAATGTGTAAATTTTGTTGTAAAAAGAGAGGAAGGGGAAAAAAGAGCTCTAACGGATATAACAGCAAGTGTGTATAGGGATGTTGAATAGCTGACTATATTAATATTTTTGGATCATTGAACACAGCTGTTTGTAGTCTCTCTGTATGAATGTCTACTTTGTATTCTTTGATACTGTGATTTGAGCAACTATTTCCAAGATGATAATATGTAATCTATTAACAGGTGATTTCTTACTGTTATGCTTTTTTTTGTAGTTCTGTATTATATGTAACCTTACACTGCTTTGTTTTGTTTTGTGTTTTTCTCTTTTTCCTCTTAAATAAAAAAAAAAAAAAAAAAAAAAAAAGAAAGGAATAGCAGTTTAAAAGTTGAGTTCAAATAAAGGACTAAAAGAATGTTTTCTATACTTTGGGCTAGGATTTGATCACAATCATAACCACTTAATGAGCCCAGATATAGCCCAAGATTCCCATGGCTGTGACAGACAGCACTGAGAAATTTTGTCAAAGGGTGAAACTTACAGCAACCCCAAGCAAACATGCAAAAAGCTGTCCCTTCTGGGTCCTCACCTGCCTGCTTCCCTATGGTCACTCGGTTGCTGTGTGAGGTCAGGCACCACAGCTAAGACTGTTGCCTGACTAGATGACCAAGTTACCCCAAGATGGAGGAGCTCCCCAAAATAACATCTTTCTTTGCTAAACCTAAATAGTCTCCAGGATAGTTAATCACCAAAATAAGATATAGGCTTTCTGAGAGCTATTCCCTACATTTCACCAAGTTCAAGACTGACAGAAAAGTCATACTGTGTGAAGGCTCCATTTAATATGCCCAGAATTTTGTTTTCCTTCTGTGTGGCAGGGCATGAGGGAGAGCTCAAGAGACAGTGTTTCATAAAGCTGAAGTCTTAGCCTCATATAATTCTAGTCAGCCTCCACAAGACTGAACACTCTCCTCCTGTCTCCTTGTAATCAATTCATTGTCATCAGAAATGTGTGACACCTCGAAGGGAGGAAAGGACATGTCTTGAAAACTGATCAGAGAAATTGTCCTGAAAATGATGCTGTTAAATGGAAATGAGACCTTTAGAAAGAGAGCTGAGAAATCAGGAAGCTTCAGTACAGAAACCGAAGGAAATAGAGAGGGAGAGTGGGGGCAGGCCCTGGGGAGCAGAGGCCAGATGCCCCAGGATCAGGTGTGGAAGTGGTCCTCTGACCTTCAGAGGGAGAAACTTGGTTGGTCACCTCAGTCTAGCCCCATCAGGTCGGTTTATTTTCCCCATAAATAATCTAGGAAGAGGGCAGTGACCCCAGGGTTTCATGCAGGGTTCTTGTAAAGGCCTGCATTACAGTGTTAACAGTGGTGGTGCTGGCTATGGGAAGCTGACGTTTGGATCAGGAACCACCTTGAGTGTCTATCCAAGTAAGTGTAAGAGGACAGAAGCACCAAGAGAATTCTGGAATCTCATCCATGTTGCTAAGTTTTAAAGAAACAGATACGGTATGGGAGCCGGACCTTGCTTGTAGCTAACTAGTGTCATCCAGGTCTTTTCTCTTCGTCATCTCAATATGCAGAGTTTCCCTTTTAGACTCAACTCTCTCCTCCTGCTATGAGCAAAGCTATTCTTGACCTTCACCTTGGAAAGTTAGACTCTTTTCTGCTTTCAGGGGCTTCTCTGGAGGCGAGGCCCTAACTTCTTTGCAATTCTATTTTTTAGCACCATTCTGTCAGAGAGTTCTTCCTTATATCAATCTTAAATTCTTCTTGGCACAGCTGAGGCCAGTTCCACTGATCTCAGCCACAGTGGAGAGGGATAATTGGGAGCGGTTTGAATAGGTGCATGATATTCAGTTCAGAATGGGTATTAAATGAAAGCAGAGAAAGGCAAACTGAAGACTGAATAGGACTCTGAGGCCTTATTTCAAATCCTTCTATGTTCCTACTGCTTCTATAAGTACAAAACTTACAAAAGGAAAAAGAGAAAGGATAGACAGAAATAAGCATCT